GGCCCCTTTTGGGAGGGGCTGCCGCCCGAGCCCTCCTCGCGAGTCGCTCGCAGACGAGGCTCCCGCTCGATACCTCCTCGAGTTTCAGTCCCCGGGAGCCCACAGGTGACGACAGCTAGAGCATTTGGGTGGCCCGCTGGGCTTGCCAACACGAAGGTACGCAACGAGCATCTGCACACAGACATTCAGGGAGGCTGGCGGTGTAAAAAGTCGCTGGCTCTCAGTGATAATCCCACCAGCCCTCTGGGCTTCAGTGGTTTAACGAGATTTGTCTTCTCTCCCCCTCCTTCCCCTGCTCGGGGGAGGGGTCTAACCTTATGTTGCATCCTCGGGGGACCTCGTCTGTCCCGTCGCGGCCTTATCCGCGTCGAATCCGTGTGAAATCCACGTCGGCCTCTTCGGATCCGTGTCGAATCCGTGTCGAATCCGCGTCGAATCCACGCCAAATCCGAGTCGAGTCCGCATCGAGCCCGCGTCGGGCAGAAGATAAGACACCAATTTGGAGGACAGGCGAGGTCCCCCGAGGATGCAACGTAACTAACCTCCCCCCTCCCGCCCTCCCCTCAGCCTGGGAGGGGGGTCGGCACTGGGCAGTTCGAGCTTCAAGATGGGCCCGGAATGGCTCCAAGAGGGCCCTCGGCAGCCCAAGACGGCCCCGTGACTCAAGATAACCGAAGAGTCATTGCACCGGCCTTACAGACGTGCTGCAGCGGATTTCTGCGTGGATTTCGGCGTGGATTGCTGCCCGAAGCGGCGAGCGAAAAACGATGTGAATTTCACGTGGATTTGTGTTGGTCTTCATTCCTGACCAAAAAAAAAAAACGCACGGAATTCACCTCGAAATCTGGAACGAAATTCTCCAGGACCCTCCAGGCCCACCCTATCGTTTTCCGAGCGAAATCCGCGCTGCGATGTTGGCGCCTTGAGACGATGGTCCAAGCGGCCCCAAGACAGCCCCAACACGGTTCCACGTGCCCTTCGGGCGTTTCTGGGCACCCTCCGAAAAGCTCACATCCTTCAAGAACTGAAAGAAAATCCGTGTACTTGGCCTTCTCGCTTCTGTCGCTTCCGATGAGCTTCTGATGCCTTAAGATGGCCCCAGGACGGCCCAAGAGAGGCCCAAGAGGGGCCCAAAAAGGCCCCAGAGCGGCCCAAGAGGGCCCAAAGACGCCGTGTTCGAGCCTCCGAAGGGGGACCTGAATTACTTGCCCCCCCCCCTCTTTTGAGCCATGGGGCCCAAGAGGCCTCCAAGACCCCTCCTACAAGCCCAAAGAGGGCCCAAAGAGGGCCCCAAGAGTGACCCAAGAGGCCCCACGGGAACCCCACTAGAGCCCCTGAGATGGCCTTAGCCGTCCTCCAAGACCCTCTCGCAACAACATCCTCATCCTCCTTGTCATCGTCCGTTCCTTCCCTCCTCCTTTCCTGCCTCCTTTTCCTCCTTCCCCTCCTCCTCCCCTCCTCTTCCTCCTCCTCCTCCTCCAGTTCCTCCTCCTCCTCCTGCTCCTCCTCCTCCACCTCATCATCATCATCAGAATCATCATCGTCATCATCATCATCATCATCATCATCATCGTCATCATCATCATCAGCGTCATCATCATCACCATCACCATCATCATCATCATCATCACCATCATCATCATCATCATCGTCTTCATCCTCTTCATCCTCCTTCTTGTGCCGCATTCTTCCTCGTCCTCCTCCGCCTCCTCCTCCTCCTCCTCCTCTTCCTCCTCCTCCTCCTTGTGCCGTATTCCTCCTCCTCCTCCTCCTCATCCGCCTCCCCCTCCTCCTCCTCATCTTGTTTTCTTCGTCTTCTTCGTATTATTATAGTTATCCTTCCCCCTCCTCCTCCCCCTTCTCTTTGTTTCTTCCTCCTCATCATCCTCATGTCCCTCCTCCTCCTCCTCCTCCTCCTCCTCCTCCTCCTCCTCCTACCCACAAGATGGTCCCAGGAGGCCAGGCATTGCTCAAGATAGCCTCGGACAGACCTGCAAGAGCCCTCAAGACAGCCTCAAGATGGCCCAGGATAGCTGAGCATGGCGCAAGATAGCCTCCGACAGCCTCCAGCCGAACATGGCTCAGGGTAGCCTCCCAGAGGCCTCACGAAAGTCTCCCATCTTTTCTGGATGGTCTGGTGGGGATACTTTTTGGTCGCGACCGCGAGCGGGCACCCGCGAGGCGTCAAAAAGTAAAACGAAGCGCGAAGCCGTACAAGTGCCAGGCAGCGGAACACGTGCTGAGCCACTACGCAGACGCTGCGCAGAAGCGGAGAGAACGAGGAGAAGCAAGAGAGAGCGACAGACGAGGAAAACAAAGGGAAAGCGAGGAAGAGAGCGAGGAAGAAAGCGAAGAAAGCGGAAGAATAAAGACGAAAGGAGCCAGAAGTAGAAAAGCACACGCCGCAGCTCAGAGGTAAAGGACCGGGTAGGTGACCACCGTGGCCTTGTTGTACTCAGCGTGCTTGCCGCGAGTGGGCGAACAGGTACTCAAAACCTTTCGAGCCGCCAGACGACGATAGTCTCGAGCTGTCCAGACCAAGTGACCGCAATGCTCAGATGCAGCCGGCGACAACGAAAACCGTGTCAGTGGAAGCCCGAGCAACGTCCGCACCGAAGACCAGGTAGCTGTACCCACGGCCGTCTCCAGGGCCAACGCGAGGCCGCGGGCGTGAAGGGAATCTACCGACCCGCGTGCCTCGGGGGGAGCACGGAAGCCGGAGGCGCCCGACGGAGGGGGGCGGCCGACAGCCGCAGGAAACTCGGTTAGCATCAGAGGGCGGCGGCTGACAGCCGCAGGAAGGGGGGTTAAGCACTTCCAGTATCGCCTGAGACCAGCCAGGCCCCGGGGGTGCAGCTAACAGCCGCGGGTGTAGGTGAGAAAAAGTTTCGTCTGAGACATACCGGTGTCCAGCAGGGTGCGGCTAACAGCCACGGGAAAAGGGAAGTGGTTTGGTCTGAGACATCTAAAAGCACTGGGGTGCGGCTGACCGCCGCGGAATGGTACAAAAAAAAAGGAATCGCCTGTAGGCCGACTGGGGTGCGGCTGACAGCCGCAGGATGGTGGGAGAAGGTTCCGCCTGAGACCTGTCGATGCTCTGCTGGGGTGCGGCACGCAGCCGAGGGATGGCGGGGAATGGCTTCGCCTGGGACACATTGAGAATGCCACGTCCGGATCGCACTGACGGGGTGCGGCTGACAACCGCGGGAGAGTAGGAAATGGTTTCGCCTGAGACCTGCCAAAGCGGGTGCGGCTAGCAGCCGCAGGATGGGAGGGAAAGGTACCGCTCAAGACATGCCGAAGCACCGCTGGGGTGCGGCTGACAGCCGCTGGAAGGTGAGAAATGGTTTCGCCTGAGACCTGCCAATGCGCAGAGGGGGTGCGGCTGACAGCCGCGAGGAAGTAGGAGAAGGTCCCGCCTGAGACCAGCCATTACACGGATGGGGTGCGGCTAACAGCCGTGGGATGATCTTGAGAGGTACAGCACGAGACTTGCCAACACTGCTGGGGTTCGGCTAACAGCCGCGGGAAGGTGAAAAGTGGTATCGCCTGAGACCTGCCAATGCGCAGAGGGGGTGCGGCTGACAGCCGCGGGATCTTAGGAGAAGGTTTCGCCTGAGACCATCTGGCGCACGGATGGGGTGCGGCTAACAGCCGAGGGGTGATCTTGAGAGGTCCAGCTCGAGACTTGCCGATGCTCTGCTGGGGTGCGGCTAACAGCCGCAGGAAGGTAGGACATGGTTTGGCCTGAGACTTGCCGACGCGCAGCTGGGGTGCGGCCGACAACCGCGAAGGGGACGAGGGAGCCAGTGACATGGGAACGTCAAGCGGAGGAACAACTCGGTGCGGCTGACAGCCACGTAACGGGTGGAGTGGCCAGGATAAGACCGTTGAGCCCGACCCGCAGGGAGGGGTAGGGTACCACACCCCGTTCCACCCCAGTGCAGCAGACAGCCGCAACGGCGTGGAGCGGGCGGTGGACAGAACAAGCTACAAGGGCCCGCGGGCCAATCGTGGCCAGGAGCCAGCCAGACCGGAGGCCGCGGCACGCGAGGCCTGCCAAGGCGAGTTGGGGTGTGGCTACCCGTAACGAGCACTGGGCCCGTCGAGGGGGACAACGCCCGCGGACCGGGCCCTGAGGGCAATCGACCAGGAGGAGGGTGGCGGGCCGCCACCATGGAGTTAGTTGGAAGCACCAGGTACAGGATGGCGACCCAAGCAAGTCCAGTGGGCCCGCCGGGGGAGGAGGGGGGCGTCATGGCGTGGGGAGGAAACAGTCCGGAGGGACCGTCGTGTGGCTGCCAGGCTCCCCCGGGAGGGCAGGAGGGCGCTGCAGATGTGCGGGGCAGCAGAGTGCTGCAAAGTGGGGCTGCCGCAAGGGCTCTAGCAGTGGCAGGGGCCCACGAGGGGGCCAGGTCCCCAGGCCGCCCATAGCGAGTCGGGGCAGGCGGCAGTCATCCCGGGGGAGAGAGGCCGCAAGTGGGTGCCCCGAAGAGGGAACCTAGTGCCTGGGACGGGCCGACAGCCCCAGCAGGGCCCGTCCGAGGTCCTGCCCTGGAGCGCGGTATGGTCAGAGCCTCGGCGCGGATCTGGCTGCGCGTGGCGACGAGAAACGCCCCCTCCACCCCCAGAAAGCTGAGAAGGCAGACAGCCGTTGCAATCCCTCCTCCTCATCCTGATCCGGGTCCTTCTTCCTCCTTCTCATCCTCATCACTTCCTTATGAATAACTCCTCCCTATCGCACCCCGCGGCTGGTCAAAAGGGCGGGCCAGGGCGTTTCGCCTGAGACTTACTCAAATTTATGACCCTGCAGCTTAGACGTGGGCGACAGCTTCACAACTGGAAGGCGGGTGATTTTCAAC